ACCTTCTTACACTGCTTATCGCCCTTGCGCTCGCTCTTGCGCGCGCTTGCGCCGTGCTGGTATTGGAGCAGCTCCCAAACCTGCACCGAAATATTAAAGTGCACTGTCAATCTTCGGTCAAGAGGCGGGGTTTAGAACAACGCTCATACCCGGTGCGAAGGCAAAACACCTGGTGTCCCAAAGTAGCTTGGGCAGCTGCGGGCCACGTCGTGAGTGTGGACTCCATCTTTTCGCCAGTGAGCCCACCTCTGTACCAAGCACGACGAAGGTCTCTCGCAACTGAGTGGGCAGCACTCATCAAAGTCAACGCAATTGACACTAGGGCACTCGATCCAAAGAAGCTTCTCGAACGCCAGGTTCAGATCTAGCAACCCAGAGACCTTGTCTGCTTCAATCGGAACTCCGGGCCATCAGTAGCGCGCTGTCATTGCTTCCATGCATGCTCCAACAGTCCAGGGCCAAGGCCAAGCCGATCAAAGCAAAGTAGCCACAGTAGATACCATCTACCTCACAATTCGCTCCTGGAGACCTACGTGCAATTATGCTGAGCTTGGGTCAGCACCTCACCAATACGGGCAGTCACTGCCAGTAACTCGGAGCAAGGGACATGCAGGGATTGTTTTTGGCTTGATAAGAGGTGGAATCCGTGAGTTCTTCTTCGAGGCTCAGGCTCCGATGCACAAGACGGAGAGCATCAGTAGAGAGCCGTGCATGTCTCCCGCATGCCACCGAACTCCGAGTAGTATTGCCTGCTCTCGCGCTCTCGGTGTGGTCCTTGGGTGGGCTCTTGGGCTGTGAGGCCTTTAAAGTCAGCAGCAAAGCGAATCTCCTCCGAAGCTTCCTTGAAAGCGACAAGGCTCGGCCAACTGATGAGGTGTGCACTGCCACAAACCTTCGAAGATTCACTGAGGCAGTTGCACGCAGGCCGCTATAGCCTGCAGCTAACATCTTCATGCGCGAAAAGTCGGTGAAGACCCGTCACAACTACACCAGCCTCTTGCTCCGAAGCCGCATCACTCCACATTGAACCTTGCCAAAATGGCGTTAGAGAAAGGCGCCTCTCTGCGAACTCCAACAGCTGGGCTCTGCAACGGAGGCCCGTCAGCATGACCGGCAGGCTGCTCAAAGCACCTTCAGACAAAAGGTTGTGCTTGTCCGGCTACTTGAAGGCTGCGCCAAAAGACGTCCTGCCTTGACCGTGCCATGGGCCATGCCCTGACGGAGGCCCAAGACCAGAACTTGGGCCACTGCAAAGCGCCGTGAGCAGCTCCTCATCCTCCCTTGAAGCGCACGTGTCATGCACCGATACTGGAAGAGGGTCCTTTGGTTCTTGTCGCTGGCAGGTGTGGCGAGAGCTGAACGAATTCGCTCACAGGGTCAGAGTCGACTCGAGCATTCTGACGTTTGGTCTATTGAGGATGGACTACTAGAGAGGTTGTACACATCGCCGTGAGCTCATGCCACCTGGTACTACTGGAACGGAGACTGAAGCGCTTGCAATCTCCCCTACACTGCATCAAGCAGCATCGACGACATATAAAGCGTAGTGGACCCTTGGTGGCCTCTGCAGGAAGAACTGGTACTCCTCCGACTACCTTCCCACTCATGCACGGAGCTGCTGCTTCCCGTGGCCCTGCAAGAGATGCTGCTTGACGCTGATGCACTCGCACTCTTTGCTAAGCCGCAACCCGCATCTCTTTGAGAGTGCCGGTTTGGCGAGAAGTGCAAAATGGACTCCTGGAAGCTGCGAATGGACTGCAACCCTCTAACAGACTTCTGGCAATTGAGCCCTACACCATAAACCCTAAACCAGCCTAGATCGGCGGCTGGTGGCCTAGGGGGCTGGTCTGGCCGGGGGCTTTGGCGTCTGCTCTCGGAGTCCAAAGGTATTCTGACGGACACCTAGGGCTCGGCGTCAGCCCGGCTACTTCCCGAGGGCGCTTGGCAAGCTTCCGCATAGATCTACGAGTATGCTCCCATGTCTGGGCAGGACATCTATAGGATCGAAACATGATCGCAACCAAAATAGCAAGCAATGGGTCGGGGTGGGGGGATCGTCTGAACAATGTGAAACCTTTCAGCAAAGCACAAGCTATGTGTCTGATGAACGTCTCCTGCGCAAGATCATCGCAAGAGTCATGGTTGAGGTCACAGCTGTCATGGAAAGGGGCGGATGCGCGCTTAACCCTAAACCCATGCAACAGTAGCTGCATGCATGGTGAGTAACGTTTCTCTCCTCTTGCCGTTTCTGGCAGTTTATACAGATTGATGGCGGGGATGCATATTTTAAGGCCAATGCTCAACTAACATGCTTTCCGGATTTGGTGGTCTGCATCCGTCGTGTGCTCACAAGTCCTCGGTCATCCAAGACCTCCGGCTGTACCCTGAAATTTCAAGTGGCCGGCTGGTGCCGAGATCCAACCACCGCGCAAAGACGGACGGACACCAGTGTTCCGAAGCAAGACGGGCGAAAGGAAAAGAGGCCCAAATGTGCAGGGCTCCTGGCTGCCTTGCTCTCCTTGGGAGTCAGAGCCGATCCGATGAGGCCATGGCCTCGGATCGACTTGGGACCGAGGCTTGGCCTGGCCAAGTCTAAGCTCGGGCGCCCGGGCCGAGCAAGGGTTCCGGAGCGGTCTGCTGGCTTCGTGGGATCGAGCCACTTCGGCCCACCTCAGTTTCTCGCCGCCGCGGGCTCGAAGGGGCGGGGAATGGGCCGCCTTTGGAGCGATGATCGGTCGCGCTGAGATCAGCTGCTGCAAGTGCTGCTTCAGCCGGACCTTAGATGCGTTTCGTGTGCCTCCAGCGAGTTTGCAAGTTTTGGGCTCTGGCTGCCGGAGCCCGGTTTCCAAGGGGCACCGAGCGCCCGCCACGGCCTCAGGGCGATGCTCACCACACACAGCTGCCTTGGTACTCTCCTGCATAAGGTTCCCGGCCTGCACTCACGATGCTGGCCGAAGGGCTGGGCAGCCCGTCACCTCTCCCAGCTCCCCCCCGGGTGGCTGCATCTCACGAGCAGGGGGCGAAAGTGTCTTTAGGCAATGCTGGGACTAAGCACAGCTGGAAGGCCTGCTGGCGCAGAATAGCCAACGACGGCTTCCCCTCGGTTTCGACCATTTCAAGGACTGCCGTAAACGCGAACATGCATCATGCCTGCCCGCCACTTTTGCATGACACCACAATTCTTTTCGAAGCTTCGGCATCTTCTTGCTGTGCCGGCAACAGCCCAGTTACCACGGGCGAGAGTGAGAGTGAGGGCGAGAATGAGGAGTGAGGGTGAGGGCGAGAGTGAGGGTGAGAGTGAGCGTGAGACTGAGGGCGAGAGTGAGGGCGAGAGGGACTACAATACTACCAGGCATGAACGCCGTGGTGGACATGAGGAAGAGTACGCTCGAAGAGCAGCCTCGGCAGAACCGACAACAAGCGCGACAAAATGATCGCCTGTACGAGCTTTGCAAGTCGTTGGTAAAGCAAGAGCAAGGAGGCAACGCTGCACCAGCACGGTCTGTCCTTGTTTCAGCTCCCGTGCGAGTGAAAGACAAGGGCTTTCTTGCGCAGCCGGGCCAGCTTCTCGGACCATCGGATGCCCTCTGAAGCTTCGGCTCGATGTCTTTCTTCCATGGGACTAACTCAGCAAGAAATTGTGCTCCACGAACAACGTGGGCCATTCTCTCCTTGCCGCTCAAAGCTTCTCTCAGCAACGCAATGTGCTCCCACAAACAACATGAGGCACTGGTTCCTAACTGCTCCTGAACTTGACGCAGTCATCTACACTGAATCTACACAGCCTCATGCAAGAACATGGAAGATCTATCTTTCTGTCTGCCAATCCGAAAGCACCAGGGCTTCGGCCTCCATCCTTCATCTCGGTAACACCGCAACCTTCCAAAAGGACGCCAACCAGGGCATCCTGGAGTTGTGAGGGCAAGCAAGGACACGGAGCGAACACATTATTATTAATATTATTATTATTATTGTTATTATTGTTATTATTATTATCATCATTATCATTATTATTATTAATATTATTATTATTAGTAGTAGAAGTAGTAGTAGTAGTAGTAGCAGTAGCAGTAGCAGTAGCAGTAGCAGTAGCAGTAGCAGTAGCAGTAGTAGTAGTAGTAGTAGTAGTAGTAGTGTTATTATGATTATTATTTACTATGGTAACTGGGTACCACATAGCCCCGCCATATTTTGAAACTGCTCCTGGGCTGCGACCACAGCCGACTCGGAGGTGAATTCATCACTGGCAGCCTCGAGTTGCACCAGTCGCGGTAGCTGATTTTCGAAGCTGCCCATCTGGCGTCGCGGCGGCAGGCAAGGGATGTCCTCTGGAGTTGCCGGCAGGACTGCTGCCACCTCCCCGGAAAACATTGCAGACCGCATGGCATGAAGCTCTCGCCCAGCCTCGGGTGTATCCTGCTAGCTTCTGAGGCACTGCTCCGGTTTGTGATGTCGGTACCGGAGCCGTCGGTGCAGAGCTGCCTGACACCGCAATGCGCCAGCACCAGGTATGACAGGTTCTGTGACACCTCCAAGACGCGCGATGCGGCCGTTGGCTGCCGGCAAGGTGGGCGAGGTCTGGCCCTGGACCAGCACATCACTTACCTTTGCCCGGCCCTTCCCTTCCTTGAACTCCGGAGCCTCTGGCATAGCAGCCTCTTTCACTGGCTGACCCTCGCCGTTGCGCAGAATGCGGGGCATGACAGCCCGCATATACCTGTCCCGGAGCTTTGCAGAGAACGGATCTTCACAGGATCAACCACCCAGGCGCACTCTCCATCCTTGAACTGGATATCGATCTTTCCAGTGCCGGGGCGCTTGGCCCTGACCAATCAGAATGTCATCCGAGACTCGACTTACGCGAATGTAGCGGCCTCACTGTCACCGTCTCCCAGCCCAAGTTGGTCTGCACCTTGATAATATCTCCCACCTGCATCGCAGGCGATCCCGTCCGTCATCCAGAAAGAGTCATCCAACAGCAGCCTTGCCTGCACGTCCACGTACCTGTTGGTGTGGTTCCTGTCAAAAGTGCATGTACATCTGGTGTGATGATGATGACGACGATGATGATGATGATCGCTGGGGATGATGATGATGATGATGATGCTGATGCTGATGCTGATGCTGATGCTGATGCTGATGATGATGATGATGATGATGGCGATGGGGATGGGATGGGGATGGAGGTGATGACGAAGATGAAGGTGGTGGTGATGAAGATGATGACGAAGATGATGATGCTGATGATGAAGATGGCGATGATGGTGATTATCATGGTGATGATGATGATGATGATGGCGATCGCGATGGCGATGGGGGGTGGCAATGGGGATCGTGGTGGATGGTGATGGTGATGGTGATGGTAATGGCGATGGCGATTGTCATGGGGATGGGGATGGTGATGATGACGATGATGACGATGACGATGATGATGATGATGGCGATGGTGATGAAGATGACGATGATGGTGGTGGTGGTGGTGATCGTGATCGTGATCGTGATCGCGATAGTGATGATGATGGAGATGATGACGAAGATGAAGGTGGTGGTCATGAAGATGATGACGCAGATGGTGATGATGATGATGATGATGATGATGATGGGGATGGCGATGGCGATGGCGATGGCGATGGCGATGATGACAATGATTTGGCACGACGGCGATGCGCATGCCGTGGCTTTTTGTTGCGATTGCCTTCACCCGGCAAGACCATTGTCCACTGAGCATTATCCGGCAGTCAGCACAGCCGTGCCTCTTCTCCGGCTGTGCGGTCTTCTCGGGCGGCTCTTCGGGAGCTGGAGGCGCTCCTTCGGTGCGGAAGATGCTTCGCATATCTTCGCATCTGCGAGCGAAGCTTCAGCGGCCAAGTGGCCTGTGGAAGCGGTCTCTTCTCCCTTCTCCTCCTCCTTAGTCTCACCAGACCCGAGGCTTAAAAATCCCCACAACGTCTCGCGCCTTCCCAGAGCGGCGTCTTGAGGCATTGCGCCGCGGCCGGGCACTGCAGCCCTGCGCCAGGCGCTCCACCACCTGCACAAAATTTCGAGCACAAGCTCAGGGTGCAACGATTCGTCCAAAGAAGGGAGTTTATCATGTCGAACCACCCTGGAAGGACCCTGGCCCTAACTCTCGTCCGCATCGTCCGCCTCACGGATCTCCTCGGCTGTGCGCTTCGCCTCCGGCTTTGGAGGTTCTTCTTTCTCGTTTCCTGCACACACGGCTACGGCATCTGCATGTCTGCGGCAAGGGCTTCACACTTTGGCGGCTCAGGCCTGTCTTTGCAGAGCCTGCACGAGCCTTGCTGTCAGCCTCACTTCAGGCTTCATGGTTTTGCAGACAACACCACAAGCGGACGCTTCCATTTGGCCCACACCCTGTCTTCAATCGACGGCTTCTCGACGGGGTCGGACAGTCGCACCTCGCTCATGCTGCGAACTGCACAACTCACCTACCGTTCCTGATCAAGAGAGCAGCACCACGAATGCTGGCAAACTTACTGAACATGCATGCTCAAAACACCAATCACATTCAGCTAGACAGAGCACCCCAGACGTGCAACTGACCAAGGGCACCATTGTTTCATGAATCGAAACTGGCGAGGTCGGCTAGGTACTCGGGAACAGTTGCATGCAAGCAAGTTTCAAGCAAGATGCTCATGAGACCTTTTGATATCTGGGTTGACGGTTGACCTGCAACTTCTGCGCCGCAGAGATTGCAGCAGAGGGAGGCTTGATGCAAAAAGCGCACCGCCTCCAAGAGTAATTAACTAACCACCAGGAGTGAGGCAGAGCGCATGTGAAAACCGGGGGGGGGGGGGGCCTCTCCCCAAGGCTTCGAGAGTGCTGTCTGGATGCAGCAACGCACAGCGCCAAGGTGAACGCACGTGGCCGGCATTCTTCGCAGTGCGACGGTACGCTTTCAGCGAGGGTTCAGCAGGATCTGCAGCGGCATCAACACTCTCCATGGAACTGTCAACACTCATGTCTCTTTTCCTTTCGCTTCTGTGGCAACCGATGCTAAAACTTGCCTACACTGCAGTCTCCCTGGAGTTGCAGGGGCCGGGGCCCTTTCATGCACTTCCAGTCTTTGGTCTGAGCCACAGGCCGCGCGACGGAAGGTGCCACCCATCAGCATCTCCCAGATGTTGATGGCAGCATCGTGCACCTGCAAGCGGGGGCCAGTGAGAGAGGCCCAAGGTCCTCAGACAAACCCTTCTCAACATCATCTCCACCTGCCAGTACTCCTTCTCTTTGTCGGGAGATGGATAGAGTCTCTTGTACCTGGTAGTGTAGCACTCTCATTCGACTGCGCCTACCACGTGTGATGTGACAGCAGCTGCAACTACAAAGGATGTAGCGGTGAATTGTCGCACCCACTCTCGCAGCTCTGCAGCTGCTGATCTTCCCACTCCGTGCGGAGCACTGCGAACTCGCGCTCCTGCGCATCAATTTGACTCCACCACCGAAGAGATTCAGACTGAAAATCTCAGCGGTCCTGTGTCACGCGATCCTCAATACAGTACTTCTTTGCCATTCCCATGGCCTGGGGCTACGGAAGGTCGTCAAGCGCAATGTTCACAGCACAGCGCCCTCCGCAGCATGCTTCACAGGGCAGGCACTCGCTGCTCCATTTTCTCTCTTGCCTGCGCAAGAAAGGAACTTTTCAAGCACAGGACATCTTCGTGCCACGACTCGTGCCGGCCTCCCTCTTCTTTTGTCGGCGAGATTCCGGATTCAAGTCCAGCAAGTTGAAACTGTCTCGCAAGACCTTTTGGGACACTCTCCGCAAGTTCAAAAGATGTCTAGCTTCTTCAAGTTCGTGTCGCTAGAACGTTCTCCGGCTCAGCATAGATGACCGGATAGTCAAGCAAGCAGTGCAGATGTCCCGTGAACTATGTGAATAGCCATATGATGGTGGTACTGCGAGCATGCACTAAGCTGTTCAAGCAGTTCGGATTCAGTGCTGTTCAGCGTCTCGTGGAGCCACGGGCTCTGCTTCTGGGCTCCGTGTCTGTCCCGGACGCAGCCGGCCTCCTCTTTCACCAGTCTGTCGAGCTCCGACTCCGTGGCGAAAGAAGGTGCATGGTTCACCTGCCGAAATTCGATGCTTCATGGCACTTGCTCGTGCGAGTAGCTCCGCTTTGACATGAGACGCATCTCTGCAAGGTTCGTGACTCAAGGACATCGACATCCAGAGTCTAGAGAATCTGACAACGCATGACAATGACAAGTCTCCAATCTCGGTAGAAATGATCTGATGCGCCTCCAAGAGCCAGGGCTGGAGCTTCTGGTCCAGCATCACATCGAAGCCCAAGATCTGCATGGAACTCACGGTCCCAGTGAGTGCCGAGATGCAGAGCTGAGCCTCAAAGCACATGCCGTTGTACACGTCGTCTGGCCTCATTGTAATGGTCTGTCATCGACTACAGCTGGCAACATCTTCACTTGGGTTCGTACTGGCAGCTGTGATAGAAGTGCGACAGACTAGGTTGAACAGCAATAAGCGTCTTGACGATCAGGTCCTGGCAGACACGGGCGCTTGTTAAGAAGAGAATGTACTCTCTCGCTTTGTCTCGAGTGGGTCAGTGCATCCTCGATCTCTGCAAGGAGGGTCTCAACATCGTGTCCCTCTTGCCGGAGGTGCTCTTGCACAGCCTGATCCGAGTGTGTCCAACTCTTGCAGGTTCTTGTGGATGTCACGGGCGGCTTTGCCTCCCAACTTCTTTTGTGACCATCTTGGGCATCATCAGGATTCGTGTTTTCCTGCGATCAGGCTTCCTCATCCGCAAAATATCCATCGATTCTAGCCCGTCCTCGAAATTGGGATTGCTCTTGTTGATCGCATAGTTGGTGAGGTGCACCATGACTTCCGACCTCCAGAGGGCCAAGCATCCTCGTGGGACATCAAACACTTTCATTCGAGGCTAAAACAAGTTGTTCTTCGTAGGCTCCACCTCGCTGCGAGCGCTGACATCACCAGGACAGAACAAGCCGGAAACAAGGTCCGCGCATACTGCTCTGATGCCAGCCGCACAAGCCCTCGCCTATACATTGAGAGCCCGCACATGGCTTGGCTAGACATGTCCCTCTGCGCTAATGCTGGGCCTGTGCAGAAAAATCCGCAGCGGATCACAGCCACTCACCAGAACATAGAGCCGAAGATCAAATTTGTAGCCATCCAGCAACAGCGGCTTGCTGATATACCTTCAAAGCTTTCATGCAGTGCTCCATTGACGGGGAGTGCTCCTATCAAAAACTTCAGGGGTGACTGAAGCAGAATCAACCGTCCATACACGGCAGTCCCAGGAACCCCAGTTGGCGAGCCACTTGCGTCCAAGCGACCTTTGCGCGACGTATGTAGAGGAAAAGTCAACCGGAACCTTCTCGACGTCGCGGATCAAGAAGATGCCTTTGCCCTGGCAGAGAAACGATTCGATCTTTGACTCACTGACATCTTGCAAGGGATGCTGCAATAGCGAAACAAACGTCGAAGCTCCTTTCTCTCTCAGGGGATTCTCTGGACAGCTACAGTGAGAAACTTGCTGCAAGACGGTACTGCCACCGGTCATGTGCATGTCATCCGGTGCAAGCATGGAGCATCAAAGCCGCATCCATTCGGCATATCGAACCGTAGGCTTCTTCCCGTGAACATCTTTGCCTGCCTTTGCCTCAGCTCCTGTAGAACTGAAACCCCGACGCGATCGAAGGAGATGAATCAAAAGGAAAGACAACTGCTGTCGTAAAAGGATCACATGGTGTGGTAGTAAGCTGCCACATAGCGGAATCTCATCGGTCTGATCCAGTTCGGGCTCTTGATGTCACAGCAGTACTTCTTGTAGGTGTTTTAGGTTCACTGCTTCACAGTTCAGAAGTAAATGATGCCAAGTCCAAGGGCGAACCCATGATGGCAAAGAGCTTCAATTGAGGTCGTGGGAATCAGCAAGAGAAACGGAAAGCCTCCTCTGGATAGCAATGCCAAGTGTCAATGACATGAAGGAACGACCAAACCATCGAGTGGAAGAAACGACACACGAACAGTGGATTGACACGATGTATTGTGTCTAGAAGAAAGTGACTGAACGAGGAAAATAGTGTGCTTGAACACATCAATGCGCAGAAACAGCTCTCCGCTCGGACCGCAACAGAACTGAATGCAAGCAAGTAAACATGACTCATGAATAGCTGAATGAAGGCACGACCGATGTCGATTGTGTCAAATTGCATGAAGCCGAAAGGACATGAGGTTAGCAAGCTTGATGCGGGCTCACGTGGAAAGGCGGACAGGGAAGAGAGGTGCATGCTATGTCCATGGCCGATCAGATAACCCAGCAAGGCAGGCAGAGGCAGGCAGAAAGGGTGGAATCTGCGGGCGTGCCTGTGCATGGAGGTGAATCAATTAGTGAACGACTTCCGGAATGGAAATCAACTGCTTTGCCGATGAGTGCCCTGGCACGATGGGCAAAAGAACCAAGCCAAGCCCAAGCAAGACTTCGGAGACACTTCGCATGAACAACCAGAGCAATGAATTGAACCGCAACGGAAGGGACGTGGTGTAGCTGACGCACCAGGGAACGCGTGCAGATGATGTTGGAGGGATGTAGTGAGAGCTCATGGCATGGACTGCAGTCACCAGTGACGACGAACATCTTTACCACTGGGTTATTGTTGAGGGATTTGATTTAAGTTACCA